TGTCTTTTGCCTCCTAGTTCTTTCCTCTGTTTCCTAGAGGATCAGGGCTGTAGAGGAGATGGGGTAAATGGGGTAAGGTTTCCCAGTGAAGTTCTTGTAGACAACCCTTACTGTCCTTCACAAATGAACAAGTGCTTTGTGATGTGGAGAACTCCAGTACAACTTCCTTGGCTTTATTCTGACTAGTACAGTTTTCAAATTCTTTAAAACTGTCTGTAACTAGCTCCCAGAATTTTCTTATGTCTTCTGAGAAACTATCAAGATGACCCTTTTGAAATTCCAAAAAACAGTTTGGTAACCTTCTGAGTTGATATTCTGCCTTGGATGTAACTGACCCTGCAGATTCCCTTGGAAGCCATTGTTTAACTCTTCTTCTTTTTAAAAAAGACATCCTGAGATTAAGGAATACTGAAAGAACTTATCTGCAGCCATTAATTGATAATAGAAATAGGTTCAAACACATTTTGTTTGGTATAAAGTCTTGCCTGTATGAACTGAATGTAATTTTTTTAGTAGCAATTTTTAAAATTAGCTTTTTATAATGAACTAGGTAAGGATTTGCATAACATTAGTATTTTTGCATACAACATCTTAAACAACTTACTGTGCTTCACAAAGGCTTGCTCTGTTCTCTCCCAAGTCCCTCTTTTCCCATCTTCCTCTTGTAGTATATATGCCATACCTATCTCTAACCTATTGCTTCCCCTTCCCTACCTTTCCCTCTCACTCCTGCTAACTGTTGCCATCCTCTTGCTATTGTGACTAGTGCTATGATGAACATAGATAGATGTGCATATTCTGTTGTGAAATGTTCTTTATTGCTGTTTTGCGATTGCTGTGTCGTGAGGTATTTCTCCTCCCAGCTGTTTGAGGAAGTGCCACACTGCTTTCCACAGTGGTTGGACTGCTTTAGAGACCCACCCTCAGTGGGTTTGTTGTTTTCTGATTTTATGAACCTTCTTGTCAATGCTGAAGTGAGGTGGTATCACATCATTATTTTGGTTTGTGTCAGGCATTTTTTTTTCATATGCTTGTGGTTTCCCTGAATGCCTTTGGTTAACCGCCGTTCATATCCTCTGCCCATTTTTAAATTGGATTATTTGTTTCTTCTTGTTGAAATGTTGAAGCTTTTAGAGATTAGGCCCTTGTCCGATATGTTTTTTATTTCTTTAATGCTTTGGGTGGAGTCTTTTGATGCACATAAGTGTGTCATTTTTCCTCACGCACTGCCATGAGTGAGACCAATCGAGCCGGGTAGAACTGCTGCAGTGGGTTCCGAGACTGTCACTCTTTACAGAAGGAGAAAGCCTCATCTTCTCCCTTGGAGAGGCTGGTGACTTCAAACTGCTGACCTTGTGGTTAGCATCCCAACCCATACCCATACCCCCTATGCTACCAGGGCTCCTGTCTCATTTTTAGGAAGTGCCAATCACCTATTTTGTCTTGTGCTATATGCTTTTCATTGTTTTATAGTGTTTTTATGCCTCATATTAGGGCCCTTATGTTTATGCCTGTTTTTTTTTGGTGATTTTTATGGTGCTGGCTTTACATTTATATATTTAATCCAGTTTGTGTGTTTGTATCTGGAGTGAGCTATGCATCCTGTTTCACTGTTCTGCGAGTTGAAATCCAATTCTGCCACCACCGTTCATTGAAGGGAGTGCTAGTGGGGTAGTGGTTATGTGTTCAGCTATGATCTGCAAGGTCAGCAGTTTGAAACCACTTGCTGCTCTGACCGAGGAAGACGGTGATTTCTACACCTATAAACAGTTACAGCCTCAAAAACTCACAGAGCCCATTCTACCTGTCTTGTAAGGGTCATTATGAGGCAGCATTGACTTGATGGCAGTGAGTTTGGTTTTGGGTTACTTGTTGAATCCTCCACCTGTCTATCAGTTTGTATTACTGTCGGGGCTTGTGTGTTACTATGATGCTGGAATCTATGTCACTGGTAGTTCCTAATAGCAGGATCACCCAAAATGAATAGGTTTCAGCAGAGCTTCTAGACTAAGACTATGAAGTAGGAATACGTTATCCACCTCTGAGGAGTTAGCCACCGAAAACCTTTTGTATAGCAGCAGAACACTGTCAGAGATAGTACAAGAACATGAGCCCCACAGTCAGAAGACACTCAAAAAGTGACTGGTAAGAGTTATCTTCTCAAAGTAGAGTGGACCATAATGACAGGGATGGAGTAAAGCCTTTGAGCTTCATTTGCTGATGGGGCACAACTCAAAATGAGATGAAAGAGCTGCAAACAACTATTAATAATTGAAACAATATGTACAAGTGTGAATCTAGGAAAATTGGAAGTCATCAAAAATGAAATGGATTGCATAAAGATTGATATCCTAGGCATTAGAGAGCTGAAATGGACTAGTATTGGCCATTTTGAATCACACAATCACCTAATATTTTTTACTGTGCTAGGAGGGACAGATTCAATAGTATAGGTGTTACATCC